TAACCTGGTTGCACAGGAAAAAAAACATTTGCCGAGTGCCTAACGGGTGGCCCTCGGCAAAGCTTGACGGGAAATGGCCGCCGGGACCCAACGGGCCTAATTTGCCGAGGGCATCTTTACCGAGGCCCGCAGCCCTCGACAAAGATTTGATTTGCCGAGGGCCGTACCCTCGGCAAAGGCCTCTTTACCGAGGGCCGTTCTTTGCCGAGGGCTCCTGTGGCTGGCCCTCGGCAAAGAGTGTCTTTGTCGAGTGCCCAAGATTTGGCACTCGGCAAATCCTCAGGCCCTCGGCAAAGCACGTGTTTCCGGTAGTGTCAAGATGGTCTTGTCGTGATCCTGCCACTGTCAGCGTACACAAGGGTCCAGTTAGTTTGCAGTGGGTGTTGTTGCGCAATGGCAAGCACCTATGGGGGCACAGAAGATTGATTTTTTTTTAATTCACAGAAGATTGATTTTAGGGATTGCTAAAGGAGGGTGCGTACAGGAAAAGGCAGACCATTATTTTGTGTGCTCCATGGTGTTACGTGGTAGCGATGGGGTCTTTGGGTTTTTTTACTAGCAAATAGCAAATATGCTCGTAGGTTGCTAGGGAAGAAGGAAAAACAAATGTTAATAGAAAACAGACAAAAATATTACATATCTATATATGTTTTACATTTTTCCATAAAATTTAAAAGCTATAATTTTTTGACGATGAACATGACATCTATAATATTAATTAGTATTAGCAATAATATGATAATATCTAATTAAATGCATATAAAAAAATAATGCTTTGTTTGATTTTTTTTCTCTCGTTGTAAGGCACATCGTAACTTTAAATTTCGTAATATCTATATGCATGTAGAGCTGAATACCTGAGTTACACCTAGAGCTGGACAAAATACTCGTGGCTCGCCAACTTGCTGACTCGTGGTCGCCTCGGCTCGGCTCGTTTTAACTTTTTCACGAGCTGAGCTGGAAGTCTAGCTCGCTGTTTTAACGAGCCAGCTCGAGCCAGCTCGTGAGCTGCTTACGAGCTGAGGATTATTAGCCCACGACCAAGAATCCAAAAGATGATGATGCTGACCTAGAAATGTCAACCTATTCTATTGGTATGTAATCCTTATTTTCAACTGATTCATATAGATTTTGATTTTATAATTGTCGTGGTACTTAAATGTTGACTTATGGATTATTTTCCAGGGGGAAGATGATAATGCTGATATTGAATTTGTGGACTTTCCTAAGTCTGTGGTGGCAACCAACTAGTAAGTATGCTGGAACTGCATGGATCATGGATGGACCAACTATGTTGCATGGTTGATACTTTTGATGAACCTAATGTGTATTAATCGTGTATGGTTACATAATAGTGGACGTGATCTTCTGAAATTAATGTAGCATAAACATTATAAACATATATGTCCTATTTTTTTGTAGTAGCTCGTGAGCTAAACGAGCCAGCTCAAACGAGTCGAGCTGAGCTGCCCCTCTAACTTGTAATATTAACGAGATGAGCCGAGCTGAGTCGACGAGCCAGCTCGAGCTAGACCGAGACGACCCGAGCTAGCTCGATATCCAGCCCTAGTTGCACCCATCATCCATGATTGCATTGGAACTTAAGTACAGCTTGGAGATATATTTATTTACATTAGATTTTGAAAAACATGGCCGTACATTGCAACCGTAGAAAAAAATCAAATATTCATGGAAAACAAGCAAAAATATTATATATCTATATATGTTTTACCCTTTCCATAAAATTTAAAAACTATATATTCTATTTTATGATTACCATGACATCTATAATATAAATTAGTATTAGCCCTCGTCTGTGATTATACTGGTACTTACGTACAGCTTGGAGATATATTTATTTACATTAGATTTTAGATATCAAATTGTTCCAAATTGATTTTATTAATTGGATAATTGGCTGATCTAAGTTCCGTTCGGCTGGAGGAATTATGGATAAATCTGGATGAAAAAAATTGCTCCAGATGAAATATTATGAGAGAAAAATATTGTTCCGGATGAAAAAAGAAGCGGATCAAACCGGGTTTAAGGGCAGACGAACGGGGCCAATATTATTTATTAATCAATGATAAGTATATTTATTATTCGAGAAGGAAAAAAATGGGAAAACCAAAAGGCATGGTCGGGAAACAAAAAATGGGTCAATGCCTTTTTGTTTGCCTGCCCATACCATCCCAATGCATATGTAAGCATGGGACGACAATAACAGGACACGTTGCACACGTTCGTCGAGAAAAATAGGCATAGCCGTACCACAACTCATTCCCGTTTGCAGGCCGCGTCGATCAACGATCACAAGTCCATCTATATATATGATAGACAAAAGGAACGGACGCGGAGTCTTACTCGGAAAGATGAAAAAGGCTATAGAACAAAAACTAAACGAGAGTCTGAAAATGCCACGGAAGCAATTGAGTCATCGGACAAAAAAAACTCTCTATGATTTTAATATTCAAGAGGCGAACTCAGTTGGTTAAAAAAAAGAAAAACTCTCTAATTTTTATTTTATCTTTTTTTTTCTATTTCTATTTGTTTTGGACCTTTTTATTCCACCGGAGACTTGTGCTTCCACGTGTCGTCCTTCGGCTTGCTTCCGATTCGACTCCAAACTCAGCAGGCGAGATGGAATTGGACACGAACAGGATAGGAACACGTCCGTAACGATCTCTGCCTTATTTAGCTCTGGTCCTTGATCGTGAGAACCATCCAATATGAATAGATCACGGATAGAAGTAGTTAGGGAGGGCTAGACCAAAATAAATAGATAAAAAAGAGGAGAAAAATTTTACCTCTTTATTATTATATAGATATACATGTAGATATAGATTTTCTTTTCTCCGTTATTATCTTTCTATTTTGCCAGTAAGCTAAAACATGGATGTGCAACAGGACATCCTTTTTTTTTTGAGTTTGTGCAACAGGACTTCCATGACCACATGTTATTATGCGTCGGATGGCCCCGTTGGTGAGCCGCGATGTCCACGAGACTTTCTTATCCGCACCTATATCTGCTTCCTCCTTTAGGCACCGCAATTTCTTAAAGAAAATATCGTCGCCGCGCTGCGAGCTCGTGACTGCGCTCCTCCCGCCTTCTGCAACGCCGCCGCGCCGGGGCGCATCCCACACTGCTCTGCACCCCGTGTGCCCGCCTTCCTCAACGCCACCGCGCCTAGTCACATCCCACGCTGCTCTGCGCCCCGCGCCATGCCCCCATCCACCTCGCCCGTCAGAAGGAGAGGTAGGGGAAGCCTACACCTGCAACCCCATCCAGCGCGCGTGTCGGGCTGTTGGCAGGAAGGGGGGCCTGCGCGCTGTGCTTGGGGTGTACGCTGGACCATTGCTCTCGACGTCCCCTTAACCCGAGTTTGCTGGCTACCGAAGTTCCCCACAAGGTAGGCTGTGGCCGCCGGCGACGCTCTGTTTTAAGTGTTTCAGGCGTTTCAGACTTATGTTTCAAGTGTTTTATCTGGATATTACAAAAGTAGATCTGGGATGTTTCATATGTTGCAATGACAATATACGAATGTTTCAAGCCTATGTTCAAAGTGTTTCATTGTTTTAGATGCATGTTTCAAGCGTTTTTGTCTGGATGTTGCATATGTTTGTTATGGCTACACACGCATGTTTCAAGTGTTTGTTTTCATGTTTTCAGATATTTAATATTTATGTTGCAAAAATGGATCCCGATGTTGCATATGTTGCTTGGGCTATACATGCATGTTTCAAGAGCATATTTCATATGGTTCATCCGTTTCAATTGTATGTTGCGAATGTTTCATCTTTATGTTTCAAAAGTAGATCGGGCGTTGCATATGCTGCAATATGCACTGGTGACTGGCGGACAGCGGCGCTTGGTGATGCTGTCGGAGCTCCATCGTGGTTCACGTGCGGGTGAGGGATGGGTGCGGTAGGCCTAGTGCTGCTGCCAAGTCGCCACCGTGGTTCAGTGCGGGTGCAGGGGCACGGTTCCAAACTCTAACGCGCGATGTGGGCAGGCGTGGGATGCGGGATGCGGGGTGCGATGCGGGCAGACATTGGGTGTAGGTGCGGAGCTCCGTCTAGACAGACGCTGCCTCCGGAGTGGAATTTGACACGAGATGAAGGGAATCGCGTGGGTCGAACGTGAGCGTGGGAGCTGCGTTCGGTTTGGGATGTGTAGTCGCTAGTCGTCCCGGAAAAGAAAAGGTGCCGTGCTGGCTTGCTGCTACTCGTTCCCTGACTAGTTCACAAGTCCTTTTAGGCCTCGGAATGTCCGTGGAAATGTTGGGCCAAGATGTTTCAGTACAGGTTGGGCTTCTTCGTGAGCACACGACAATAAATTAGGATTTATATATGGCGGTCCAATTAAAATAAACCAACCCCGTCCACACAAGCCACAATGCTAGCAAGAAACGACCAAGTAACAGAATAATACAGGTTCACATTCACAATTCAGTCGATGAGTCCTAAATAAATTCCACTGAAAAACCTTTCAAGAATCATCGGGACTTACAAAAAATAAGCAACAACCTTTTATGGAAGCAAATATCCGCGTACGGAGAGGCCTCGGGAGCACGCATTCGATTTCCGAAATTCGAAATGAGCGCATAGTTTTCTAGATACAGCAAGACTGGATCGTATCGAAGAGACGACGGCAAGTAAGCCACGTGGCATCCTGTGGTTCGACCAACAGGATACAGTAACTCGATAATGTGGGGTCCAGCGCCTGCAAGTTTGAAATTGAAATTCTGGGGAGATGAACAGGCCCGCTCCAACGGCCGGATTCCTCGAATTCAAATCCGGCCGCGCTTTCTGCCTTTATATACGACCCCCACGCTCCCCGTCGCTCGCTTTTCCGTATGACCCATTGCAGCTTCGCATTCGCTGCGCACCTCAGCTGAGCCGAGCCGAGCATAACTAGATCGGACGAGAGGAGGAGGCCAAACGGCGGAGAGGAAGACAGATCGAGGAGGACGGTCGCCGCCGCCCGCATCGAAGAGAGCATGGACTTCCTCGCGCTACCCCGCCGTGACCTGCAGGCGCTGTGCAAGCGCAACGACATCCGCGCCAACATGACCAATGCCGCCATGGCCGACGCCCTCCGCGCGCTCCCCAAGGTAGGCACCCTCGCATCCTCGCCCCGTTACGCGTCGATCGCTAGATCTGGGCTCTGTCAGTTAAATACTTGCTACCTTACGCGTTCCGTAATTCTGTTCCAGGTCGAAGGGACCGAGGAGTACATCAAGGTTCTGCAGCCGGTCGCCGTGCCGCAAACGGCGGTCAAGTCGGTGAATGAGGAGAAGAAGCCGAAGAAGCAGGAGAGGCCGCTTCCGCGCGGCCGCCGCGCCACGGCCAAGTCATCGGAGCCAATTGAGCCAGAGGAAGACAAGGAAAAGTTAGAGGAGGATGCGAAGCAGCAGTCGAACAAAGAGGATGCGCAGGCACCTGGCGTCGGGTGGCGCGGTGCCAGCCGGCGCGCTAGGCCCGTGCCTACCGTGCCTCTGCCGCCGGGCAAGGCAGTGGCGGAGGAGGACGGCCAAGAGGACAATCTGAAGCGGGAGGCCAAAAGGGATAATGCGCCTGCGCCCGTCGTGGGCCGGCGTGGTGCCAGCCGACGCGCTCGACCCTCGCCTGCTGTGGCCGCGCCGGCAGCCGACTCGGTGGTTGCAGGTGCGGAAGAGGAGCAGATCGAGGAGGTGCTGGTGGAGGACCTCAAGCGGGAGGCGACCATGGATGATGCGCCGGCCCTTGGCGTAGGCCGCCGCGGTGCCAGCCGACGCGCTCGGGCGGCGCCTTCTGTTGCTGCGCTAGCGGGCAAATTGGTAGCGGAGGAGCAGAGGGCCCCGATCCCACGCGGCCCTCGTGTCAAGGCCAAGGGCACCTCGACCGAGCCTATCAGGTTGGACGACGGCGATGATGAGGAAAAGGAGGATGCGAAGCCGGAGGAGCAGGAGGACGCCCAAATCCTTGGCGTGGGTCGGCGCGGAGTGGCCAGCCGGCGCGCTCAGGCGGCGCTTGCTGTAGCTGCGCCAGAAGCTAACGCAGAGGAGGAGCAGAGGGTCCCTGTCCCACGCGGCCGCCGAGTCAAGGCCAACTCGACCGAGCTTATCAGTTTGGACGACAGCAAGGAGGAGAAAAAGCAGGACACGAAGCCGGAGGAAGAGAATGGAGATGCGCCAGCAATTGCTGTGGGGCGGTGCGGTGCCAGCCGGCGCGCGCCTGCCCATTCAGAAGCTCCGGCTACGAGGAGAAGCGCTGCTGCAAGTAAAGCTGAGGCAGGGTATGTGGCCGTGGAGGCAGTACCTATCCGGGCCACTCGTCAGCCTAAGCCGACGATGAAAGCAGCAGCAGCTGCAGCGGCAGAGGAGAAGGCACCACGAAGGGCCACGAGGAGGGGCGCGGTGATGAGGACCCTTTTGCAGCAGGAGGTACAAGAGGAAGCACAAGGTGAGAACTGAGAACTGAGGAGTGATTTCATCCCAATCAATGTGCACTAACTGAGATGCTGCTTCCGCTGAACCAGGTGTCTTCTCTGATGCAGAGGCTGTGGGTGCACCGGTTGTGGCCGTGGAGGCTGTACGCATCCGGGAGACTTGCCACCGTAAACCGACAATGAAAGCAGCAGCAGCTGCTGCTGCAAAGGCAGAGGAGAAAGCACCACCAAGGGCCACGAAGAGGGGCACGGTGATGAGGACCGTTTTGCAGCCGGAGGTACAAGAGAAACCGCAAGGTGAGAACTGAAGAGTGTTTTCATCCCAATCAATGTGCACCAACTAAAATGCTTCATTTGTTGATGCAAAATTTGATTGCTGAACCAGGTGTCTTCTCTGATGCAGAGGAGGTCAATATTGAAGATGGTCTTAGCTGTCAAGAGGAGGGTGATGTGGTTGTTGATAAGGTGCTGCATGACTCGGTGGATGACACCATTCTTCTTGATTGTTCAAGTGATATCAGCTTGGTTGAAGTGGAGAAGGCAGGAAACATCACAAGTGAGATGCCTGAGAACCAAGCGGCATTGGATGAGGAATTGAGGATGGTGATAAACCGAATGGGGGTGGTTATTGGTGACAGCATGTCCGAAGCCACAGTGACAGATGAAGTTGTTCAGGAAGAAAAGGGAGTACTGATCACCAATGAGATGCCGCAGGGGACAGCTGGCATGCATGACATGGAGGATGATCAGTTTGAAACTGTTTTTGTTCAAGCTGATCAAGTAGTCACTGCTGACATGGAGGTCAATACTGAAGATGGTAGGGTGATGTGGTTCAGGTGCTGCATGACTCGGTGGATAACACCATTCTTCTTGATTGCTCAAGTGATATCAGCTGGGTTGAAGTGGAGAAGGCAGGAAACATCACAAGTGAGATGTCTGAGAACAAAGCTGCATTGGATGAGGATGGTGATAAACCGAATGGAGTGGTTATTGGTGACAGCATGTCCCAAGCCACAGTGACAGATGAAGTTGTCCAGGAAGAAAATGGAGTACTGATCACCGATGAGATACCGCAGGGGACAGCTGGCATGCATGACATGGAGGATGATCAGTTTGAAACTGTTTTTGTTCAAGCTGATCAAGTAGTCACTGCTGACAACCTGCCGGAACAAGTGACAAATTGTGAAATTACTGTGGTGGTGAACACATCACCGATAGTTGATGAGAGGCAACAGAGCACAGTTACAATAGATGAAAATGTTGTCGAGGGTCGTTCTGAAACTGATGGTGTTCATTCCAATGAACAGATAGAAGTGGTAACTACTGACAAAGTTTCAGAGCTCAAGCTGATAGAAGATGTTTTAATTCAAGCTGAACAAGTAGTCACTGATGACAATCTGCCAGAACAAGTGACTGATTGTGAAATTACTGTGGAGGAGAACACAGCAGTGATAGTTGATGAGAAGCAACCGAGCACAGTTACAATTGATGAAGATGCCGATGAACAGATGGAAGTGGAAATGCCAGAACTCACAGGGACAAACGTTGAAGTTATTGAGGAGAAGACACCACCGGGAGTTGATGAGAAGCAAAAGAGCACAGTTACAATGGATACAGATGTCGTCGATGATCATTTCAAAACTGATGTTGTTCATGCCGATGAACAGATGGAAGTGGAACTCACAGAGACAGATGATGAAATTGTTGAGGAGATGAAGACACCACTGGTAGTTGATGAGAAGCAACAGAGCACAGTTACAGATAATGGAGACATTGTGGATGATCATTTCAAAACCCATGGTGCTCATGCTGATAAACAGAAGGAAATGGTGGCTACTGAAGTGCCAGGGACTGACAGTGAAATTGAGGAGAAGACACCACTGATAGTTGATGAGAAGAAACAGAGCACAATTACAATGGATGGAGATGTTGTCTTTGATCATCTCAAAACTGATACTGCTAATGCAGATGAACAGAAGGAAGTTATAGGTATAGTTACTGAAGTGCCAGATGAAGTCACAGGGACTGACGGTGAAGTTATTGAGGAAAAGGCAGTTGTGATTACTGAGGACATGCCAAATCAGGGAACTGTACCAAATATCACCAATACAATGGATGAATGTTTAAAGGAAAACAATTTTGGAACTGATTTTGGCCATGGCAGTTTGCAGAAGAAAGCAATCACTGCTGACATTGAGCCAGAAGTCTCGAGGGCACAAGACGGGGGCGCCCGGAAGGAGAATGCATTGCTTGATGATGTCACAGAATCCCTGTCCATGAGCATTATCACCATGGAGCCATCAGTGTGCAAGAACAACAGTGAGAAGAACCCTGCTGAACCCATGGCAGTGCTAGAAGAGAGGGGAGTGAAGGTTGCAAGCGAATCCGAGGATTTGACTAAGCTTAGCCTAGGGCAGCTCAGAGCCAAGCTCAAGGAGAAACTGAATGCCAAGAAGGTAATGAACCAATTCCACTCCATCTGTGTAGTCTTTCCGTATTTGATTTGAATGCTGAACTGGCTTGTAACATGCAGAACAAAGAAGCAAAGAAGAGGGTGGCGCTTGCCAGGGTGGATGAGAATGTTTGTCGATCCCACGCAAAGGGGCAGCAGCAGAACCTGGATCTGCAACAGCATTAACCTCCGGAAGAAGCTGGCTCTGAACTCATCTCACGTGTGCGTTCAGATAGCATGTAGTTGTGGTGAAACCATGGTTTCTCCTACCTGGGCATCTAACTTATGTGTGAATTGTTTTATGTGTTTGTGTGTTTGCGTGGAGAGGCCTTAAACGATTCGGCTGTATTTTGTCCAAGTCCAATCGTAAGCCAGTACCCAGCATTGACCTGTGTGGTTTGCTGGTGTTAGTTGACTGTCTTATCTCGAACTCATTGAGAATATCTGCTTTGCCTATATCTCGTGCAATAACAAATTATCATCAGATTGTATGGAAATGCACCTCATTTACATCGTTTGGACGAAGCGATAGCCTATTTTTGTGTATGCAACAAGTTAACTGCAAGCTGATTAACAATCCCATCCTGAGGTTTGCTGGTTGTTATTCAGCTCGCCTTTTTCAGGAACTCTGAAGGTATAATAACAGAGATTTGTCACTGTGTTTGGCCGGTTCCTCCCAAAGACATATTTCCAACCGTTGATATATTAGTAAATTTATACTGCAGTCATCTATCTCTGATTGACAGTCCAGAGCTACACTGCTTTAATTACTGTGCACCTATCTTGGATTCCTCTGAAACTGAAACTACAGACTGCGGTTTATGCATCTAGGTCATTCATTTGGTGATTTGTGTGTCCAAACAGAAATGCGTTTGATTTTACATTGTGTCGATCTACAACATAGAAAAAAATTAAGGATTTGGGTTGTAGTCCCGCTGTTTCTACATGCATCTCATAGGGTGATGAAAAAGATTGTTTCTGTTTGATAAAACCAGGTGAGCACTCCTGCAGTCCTACTTACTACTGTTGTTTCGGTGTTTGCTCCTCTTTTCTTCACCTTTTTTTTTTTTTTGCTTATACACAATATCCTGGCCTGCTGAAGAAAGGAGAGAGGTCTGGTTGATTTCACAGCATGTGCTTGGTCACTTTTTGAAATTACTGTGCACCTTCTGGTTGGCACAATACGTGGTGCATTGCCATATGTCGTATAGAAATTGGTGTCTCCATGGAAATACTTTGGACTGCAGAGTTTACCTGTTGATTTGTCCCACCTTTAGTTTTTTAGTCATTGATTCTCACCTCTTCTCTTTATCTCGCTAATTACAGATGTAAGGAGGTTTTGGTAATGAGTGGGAACTTGCTAAATCACTCATTTTCAGAGGTTTGTTTCACTGCTTTTGTTTTTTGATGCAGCTTAGTTGCTTATCTATTTTCAAAGGTTTGTTTCAATGCTCATTTCTACAGTTATGAGTTGACATATATACAACTGGTCGTGCCATTTGCTTTCAAAAAATGGTAGGATGTTCATTTTTTACTCCCTAAAGTACTGGAAGGGTTCAAGTATTTTTTTAGACATTTACAGGAAGCTAGAATTGTAGAAATAATAAAACATATAGTATATGATGATTGATGCTCTTGCTATTCCTTGATTAGGTTCAGTTTTTTTACATGTATACCTTCGTATTGATTGGTTGCAGGAAGTGTCTTTAATAAAAGTAGAGATATGAGAATCATTTAGATGATACATTGTTAAGGGCACGTTTGGATTCGTTGCCGGCTTGCCTCGCCTCACCTCGCCTTAACATGTATAGTTATATTACTGCTAGCAGAAAAAAAAAACAATGAGACCCTTTGTTAAATCCTAGTAAGGTAGATTTATATGATAATAAAACCTAAGACTCCTTTGGGTATGCAACTATTCAGGTCTAAGGTTTAGTGATCCACACACTCGAGAAATGGTTTACGTCTCCAAAAACAAGAACCCTTGGTAAGTCTACATGAAATGGAATGTTGTTCTTCCCTGATTTAGAGTTGTGATAGCAAGTGTTTTTTTTCCAAGGCTAATAGGGAAAATTATGCTGGTTGCCTCTTCAGTTAGCTGACCAGATAGAGCAGTGTTCTTTCTCCCTCTATTCTTTGCTCTATATTTCTGATTATATTTGGCTCACTACATTGGATTCTTAGATATTAACATAGTACTGCGTTCCTACCATATAAAAATCTTTTATGTCCATATTAATATATGTACGTATAGGATAATATGTTCATTCGTATTTGAACTCCGCTGCTTTATCTATTTGGAAAATTAGTTGCGGTGCATCTCAAAATTGCCAGTCATTACTGTTACACCTATATAGGCGAGCTTTGCTAATTCCTAATCAGATGAGATGGGCACATGTGTTAGTTGTTGCTTTGATAGTTCCTGGTAAGATACATGTCTCCTAATAATTGTGTGGAAAAACGGTACATGTATCTATGCTTGTATGGCAGCAAACTAAAACAGTTTTGCTCAATAGTATTTTGACTTGCCTTATTCTAGAGTTGACAATTAACTGTGGACTTACATAATACAGTAATGTTAATGCATCGCCTCATGCCTTTCTAGATATCTAATTAGTATCAGTGATTCAGTGCTTCTACTCGGCGATTCAGAGATTTCAAATGGCAGCAAATGCAGTGCCTGAAATTACAACTCCACAAGGTTCTACAGATGAAGATGCCCTCCTTCCATATGAAATTGTCTCTACCCCTCTTGGAGATTATAACAAAGGTTAGCTACAAGTTTTCAATTTGATATCATGGTTACTATTGTTAGTTGGTCACAGCTGAAGAAAAACAGCTAGAATAAATAGGATGCAAGGATCAAGCACAAAAAGTTGATGCTAAAATTTGCATGAACTTATCAGCCGGCTTATCAGCTAGAATTTACAGTATTTTTCTCTCACAATAAAACAACTTCAGCCGGCTTATCAGCCGGCTTTAATACCAGCCGAACAGGATATACTCATCTATTTTACTTACTGTTGCAGATCTACTATCCAAGTATGCTGATCATTATTCCTATAGATATATTTTCCTGAAAAGGAAAAAAAGACTATGTTGGCTATTTTTTTGCAACGGTAGTTGGAAATTGAAACCGGATTGATGATGGCCAGCCATAGTTGTGTCCTGCCTCTAGCTTATTGATATAGACCACATCAGCCTAACATGACAGCCAGTTTCCTCGGTGCTTTTCAATATGACTACTAACTTTAGGTTGGCGTTTTGGCAGGATAACATGATGCTGGGTTCTTAATTTCTAAAATATACCTGCTTAGTTGACATAGGCAGGGTTGCACCCAGATCTAGACTGATCAAAATATAAGATGTGTTACCTAACTATTCTAACATTGGGTGATTATAGCTGCCCTTTGGGTTAATATCAACTCTTCTATCTCTTATTTATCTTCCTGGTTGTAAAGTCTGTAGTGTTACGTTCTCAGTTTATTGTGTACAAATTATTTCTTTATTTTCTATTCGATGTCCTTGCATATATTTTGTAGCTTGATTTCCAAATTTTTATATACCTCCCTTTAAAAATTGTTTTAAAGTCAAATTTATGATGTTTGCAGCCTATGAGAGACATTTGCTCCCTTTACTGACAATCTCTATATTCATTATATGATGCCTAGGATGCCAATTTTATGATGTTTTGATTTTTGCTTTCCTTTACGGTACACTATTCTTTTAGTTGTTTAATTAAACATCTTATGATGTCTAGGATGCCAAGGCGCGGGTAAAACTTAGTTGCGATGCGATTATACAATCTGAAAATGGAACAGTGTTTGCAACCTTGCTATTCCTATCATGCTCCACACACCTTTTTGAAGCACCAGACTTCAAGGATGGCAGCGAAACATCTGATGATTCAGGTTGTATGGCTTCTTTGGATACAGGTAACATCACAATATTCATATAGACGATGCATACCATAGTTCCTAATACTTTGCTACAATGCATGCTTTTCCTTGAATTTCCAACAGCGGACGAATTCAATGTGGATAGAGAGGCTCTTGAGGAATCCTATAGACAGTAGCACGAAGGTGATGTCACTTAGACCCTATATAACGTTCCTTAGAGTGTTGCTTTGTTCTTTTAGATAGCCCGCATATACTGTCGGTTACGTCCTCATCACATGCCTAGGCACTGTTCTCTCTAGTATACAGCTCATCAGGCATGCCAATGGCCAAAGCTATTATGGCGTCGGTTTGATCCGTCACCGTTCAAACACTGAGACGAAACTACAAGCTACAATCCTTGCTTTGAAACCAAAGTACAGCTTCGAACCAAGTTATATAGCTCCTAATGCATTTTCATTTACATTAGTGCATATTAGATTCTTGTGTAGCTAAAAAACTAACATCTGTTTTGCTGATTCAAGCAGCCTTCTCGCTCACTTCAATCTGTGAGTTTGATGGTGCTGACCTATCCAACCAGAGCATGAATCTTAGGCGCAACCTAGGAACTGCTATTTTTCTCCCGCATTTGATGGTTGTTATGATCCCGTATGTCTAATGTACTAACTTATGTATCAGTGTGTACTAAACTTGTGTGTTAGAAGCTATGCTATTAGTGTCTAATGGTTCTAATCCCACGCATCTCTCTGTCTGCAATCTCATGTGACAAAATCGCAAGGTGTTATCACGCGTGCATGGGCGCGCGCAAATTATTCGTTATCATTAGAATAGATAAAACTATTTGTATTTTTTAGCACTGATGGGTGAAGCGACGTACCTGCACCCACGAGTTACCTGTAGGTATGTCGCTTCACTCGCAAGTGCTAAAAATATATTGAATTTCATCTATTCTAGTGATAATGTGACCCATGGGTGCGGGTATCTGCGGGTATCGTACCCAATAGGTGTGGGTACGAGTACAAAATCTTATCCATGAGTACATGTATGGGTATAAAATTTTATCTGATAGGTAATTTGTCACAGGTGGTTATTTACTCTACCCGAACCTTACCTGACCCGTTGTTATCCCTAGTTTAGCCAATAGTAAGATAAGAAATTTTGAATGGTGATATAGGCGGAGATTTCCGAGGATCCAAATAACCTATGGGTTTTTTTCAGATTTAGTGAGCATTTAGAATAACAACTCTATTTTAGTGCAATCGGTGCATAGATTTTTGCATGGTCAATGCT